GCCTTTTAGCAAGTACCTAGGCTGTTAGTATGGTAAGTTACAACGTCAGTCTACCGCAATCTCATCCTTCACCCACCTATGCCCGGCGGTAAGACGGAGTCAAGAAGCCCGAAGGCTGAATAGGGCGTAGGTGGCTGGCGCGGCCGAGAGCATACCTACGCCTGTCACCAACACCTTCCTTCCCCTATTTTCGGCATTTGTTCTGGAAGCGCAACCCAAACAACGCCTGCCGTACCTCATCTGGCTCCCGTGTTGGTCCAGCGCCCGTCTGTCATACGCTGTGCCTACACTCACCGTTCGGTATTCGGTCTGAAAAGGATGTATCCTGCCGTCCATCCTATTCAACTACGCTATTGACTGGATTCTCTTGAAGGCCCTATATGAAGGAGACGGTGTTGAGCTTGCATCCGGATGCCGGCTTGTTGGGCTTGACGAAGCTGATAATATCCTCCTACTAGCTTCTAGTTTTAGGGATCTGCTGTCTATGGAATCACGGCTGGATAAGTTCGCTAAATCAGTCGGTTTGTCTATAAATGTTCAGCAGACTAAAGCGTAATCAAACTGCATCCCTGACCAGAAGGCAACTCTCGACATTAAGGACTGCCAATTTGTAGTTGGCAGTCTCAAATACCTTGGAAGGAGACTGCTGTCGAATGAGCAGATTAAGACTGACCTTGTCTTCCGAATGGATGCCGTTTGCCAGGTTTTCCCGAGCCTTAGAAAACGATTATGGACCTTAGGAGACATTTCCATTGTCACAAACATTTGCGCATATCGTGCATTCCTCCAGATAATCCTTCTCTATGTTTGTGAATTCTGGTCTGTGGACGTAGAAGACGAGCAAAAACTAGAGGTATTTAACCATCACCGCTTGAGGACCATGTTTCGACTGCAGTACACCGACTCGATCTCACATAAGACGGTCCGCACCCGATGCGACAACACAACGATATCTCAGGCCATCCAAGAATGATGACTCTGCTTGTTTGGGGGCGTCGAAGAAGGAGTCAATTCGAAACCTGACTCGACACAATTCGAACATGGAAGTGGCTATTGAACCTTCCGTATTCAGTCGCTGGCGAAGAGTAGTTGAGCTGTACAGTCAATGACATACTCGAAGCCGGCTAGATCAGGTATGATCGCAGTTGGGTCAACCCATTATACGAACCAGACAACATGACGACTTATCTCACAGCTATTCGAAGGCAAAAGGACCTCTCGGAGACGCGATCCGCTGGCCCAAGTCACTACCCACACCCTGGAAGAAGGTCACGAATTCAAATTCGCGAGAACGCATGGGTCGAAACGAAGACGGGGCGACCACTGCTAGAGTCTCGGATCTCTCCATAAACACA